AGTGCATTGTGCTGAAGCTTTTCTGTAGGTAACTGTTTTGTAACCTTTAGATTTCACCAAAATCTTGCTGTTTGGACCTCTGTTCAGTTGTCGGGCTTTTCTGATGCGTTGTCTTGTGTTGGGTGCTGGGGAAACCTCTCTCGTTACTGCCTGACTGCAGTGCAGGAGTTTTTCACTTTCCTCTGCATTTTTCACAAAAAGACTTAAGACAGTGAAGATGAGGAGGGCTTGGTGAAGCCCTGTAGCCTTCCTCCTTAGGAAAAACCCAGAAATTGTCTGCTCTGCGTGTGTCCCGTGACGTTCACCATAGAAACTGCAGTTTGAAACGCATGGCTCAGATCTGTGTTAGGATTTTCAGGATTTTTAAATACAGCAGCTCAGAAACACAGCACAAGCCCCTTCTTGCTGTTCCTTGCTGTTGCCTAAAGCTGTAGCTCCCAGTGATGGCCCATTTGTGCAGGCTTCGATGCGGCACTTGGAGCTGCTCTGCAGCTGACGTTGGTGCTTGGCAAGAGCAGAGATCATATGTTTCAGCCCAGCCTCGGCCATTGCTGACAACCACAACGGAGGAAAACTCTATTTTCTTCATTAAGGCTTGTGCAGGGTTGCTCTGCTTTGGAAGGTTCTGCTTCTTTTTAACTCCTGGAGGCCAGTCTGTCCCGGTGCCATTGCAGTGGTGCCCAGGCCCTCGGTGTGAAGCTGATCCTCAGTGGGAAGTCAGGCATCCCGAGCCTTGTCAAGGCAATGTGGAAGAAAACATCCTAATCCTGAAGGGAATTGATAAAAGGGGACAACATGACTAAAGGCATAAAGAGAGAAGAGCAGATGTGTTCCTCTTGCCAGCTCCATTAAAATGATCACAATGTGCCCTTTGGGCTTTTGTATGTGAAAGGAAAGGCTGTGGTAGAAGTTTTGCCTGCAGGAGTTTTGCTGGCAGTAGATCAGCATCATCTCTCCAGAGCTAGTGATGGAGATCTTGAATGTAAAGGATGAGGTGTTGCTGCAATCCACCCTGGCATGGACTGTGCTCGCTGGCAGTAGCAAGAGGAGAATTAAGTAGTGATAGGGGACAAACTCCATTTCTGCTTGGAAACTGCAGCTTCACCTTCAAGAAGGGATCTGCTGTCAGGATGGTAGAGCAGGGGGTTGTTGAGGAGTTGGCTTAGCAAGTTCAAGGGTAGGAGAAGAGGGGTTGAGTTAAAAGTGACTTAGGTCGACTTTGGCCTCCTCACAGTCTGCCAAGCACTGGAAGCTATTTCTCATTTCCCTGCAGGAATATATGCAGTGTCCTCTGGACGTGGGCGTGTGCTGGAGGCACATCTCAGCCTGTCCCTGCAGCAGGGAGAGCGGTTCTGCAGCGGGGATAGCGGTTCTTACACCAGCTCTGTGCCATTTTGAAACGGGGCTAGTGGTGGGGGTGGATTTTGTGGGTTTGTCCTTCCCCTCTTGTTGTTCCTTAGTGCCACAGTGTCCCCAGGCAGCCCCAGCCCAGCCGAGACACGTCCGTCGTGTCACACGCCGATGCCTCCCTGGCTGTGGGGCAGGCGATTCAAAATTCTCTTTCTTCAGGTGATGAAGACCTACCACATGTATCACGCAGAAAGCATCAGCGCTGAGAGCAAGCTGAAGGAGGCAGAGAAGCAGGAGGAGAAGCAGTTCAACAAGTCAGGGGACATCAGCGTGAACCTGCTGCGGCACGAGGACAGGCCCCAGCGGCGGAGCTCCGTCAAGAAGATCGAGAAGATGAAGGAGAAGGTGGGTGAGAGGGCAGGGTGGGGTGGGCAGGCTGGGGCCGGGGCTCCTCGGGGCTGGAGGGTTTGGCTCCAGCCCCATTCCCCTCTGTGTTCCTGTGTCCCTGGGAGGGTGTTAGGGGCAGGGCAATGCAGCAGCATGTCTGGTGTGGCATGGAGATGTCCTTGTCCAGACACGGGGCCCTGCTGTGGGGGCTCTGGTGACACTGGACAGCAACTGTCCCAGGCTTCCTTCAGCTAGAGACACGTGGCAGGCAAAAAAAGGGATGGATACCTAAAATAAAACTCTGTTTCTTCCTCCATAGACTGCCTGGGAGTTAAGTGCAGCATTTAGCTGACTTTGCTGGGTAAAACACTGAACTCCATTCTGGCTTCAGGAAATCCCTGTAGATCTCAGGATCTCCAAAACTGTAATTTTTCTGTTAATTTTGGAGGAAAATCAATAACTTCCCTAGCTGGGACACGTATGCTCATGTGTGGGCCCAGTACTGGGACATTGTCTAGCAGCAGCGTGCTTTTTTGAAGGGTTAATCGTTTGAGCTAAAGCTTCAGACTAGCAATTTGCCTGAGCAAATGCCCCAGATCTCAGCACATCTGCTTTCCTACAGAGTTTTGAATTCTGGGTCCTGTTCTAAATTTTGTAGCTTGGGCCTCTGGGCCAGATTCCACTTTGATACAGCTGCATAAATCTGGAGCACGTCCAAATGTATGTCAGCGTTTCTGGTAGGAAAATTTGGCCCCCTAATTTTGACTGATGCCAAAACCTCCACGAATGCACAGATGAGGGAGGAGCAGCTGCACTGGGGATGCTGTGGGTGCATCTGAGCAGGGCGTGCTGGCTGATGGCACCAGGGTGCTCAGATGGGATCTGCTGCGTCCTGGCAAGGGTGCTGATAACAGATGTTATTAATGACCACAGCAGGCCCAGGCTGCAGGGTGCTGCGGGGCCCGGCAGCAAGGGAGCTGTGGAAGCAGTGTCCTCCTTCTGCTCTGATATCCCATGTTGCTTTCTCAGAGACAAGCCAAATACTCAGAGAACAAGCTGAAGTGTACTAAAGCCAGTTTGAACCTGGCAGCCACCAACGCCGCCGTCAGCAAATACTACATCCACGACGTCTCTGACCTCATTGATGTGAGTGCTGCCTCCCCCTGCCTGCATCCTGCCCACCTTCTGCTAAAAGCACACTGCTAGGTCTTCAGCATGATTTGCTCCTTAAATGCCCTCTCATGTGGTGGTGGTGAAGGGGTTGGGGCTTTAGAATACTCTTAACTAGGGCCTGAAAATGTGCTATACACTTGGATTATTTTTTTCCTGTGGTGTTTTTTTTCCTTCCAGCTGCACACACGTTTGACTTTCCCCCGAGCTGATGTAGGCCTATATGAGCAGGGCTAGAGCTGCCCTTATAGGGGAGTCATTGAGTCATAGAGTGGTTTGGGTTGAAAGGGACCTTACAGACAGTCCTGGGCAGGGACACCTCCCACTAGACCAGGTTGTTCAAAGCCCAGTCCAACCTGGTGTTGAATACCTGTAGTGATGGAGCATCCACAGCTTCCCTGGACAGCTCTGAGCATCAGTCTCCTCTGAACGTTATGGTGCCCATCACACCACAAAGTAATTGATTCATATTTACGATACACAGAAACTTCTTTTTTCTGTGTCTGGAGGAAAAGATGGAGTTTGTCATTGTAACTGCAGGGTATGAACCCACCTGCACCGAACGTGTTCCTGAGCATATGAGCAGGGCAGTCAGGGGGGAGCTGCATGGTTCAGGCACTGCTGTGCATCTGCAAACTGGAAATTGCTGGAGTGTTTCTGCGCCTTTCACGCTGTGTCATGAGCCTGCTGTAGGGTCTGGTTGTTGGTGTGTGTTGGCTCAGCCTCCAGAACTGTGCAGATGTGGTGCTTTAAGCACAGCACGTCCTGTGGCTGGAGCTTCTCAAAGGCCATTGCCTTTGCAGGAGAGTTTGCCTTGGGGCAGGCCAGGTGAGCCTGAGGTTTCCCCTGGCCCATCGATTACTCTGCATTTGAAACGGATAAACTCTTAGGAAGATGAGATACAGCCTTGGGTTTGTTGTTGAAGCAGACTTGCTCTGTGCTCCAGGGTGTGCAGTTTCGCTGGCTGTGAGCAGGCTCTTGGCTCTCCTCAGCCCTGGTGGCAGCTGAGCACATGTGGAGGTGCTTTCCTAGCTGCAGAAGGCACTTGCTGAGCTGGATCCCAAGGGCACATTGCAGGAAACAGCCTCAGGGCAGGAGCTGCTGGATACGGGTTTCTAGTAATGCTGGGAACTGAACTTGTGTGTCAGGCACTCCTCTGAACTGCTTTGAAATGGATCAAGAGAAGGGATTTCTGTTTCTTCCTTTAGTAGGCATCTTTGGAGCAGTGTGGACTGCATGATGCAGAGCTTCTTCCTGCTGGAGCTGCTTCAGTGAGCACACAAGTCACTGATCTTTAGGTACTGAGTTAGTCTTCTGGCTTCATCATTACCTAGAAGTATAATTTCAAGATGTGCTGAACTGACATGTGTTTATTCTTCCAGGCATTAATTAAAGTCTGATGCAAAACCACTGATGGTGTCAAGATTTTGAGACACAATAAAATATTCTTAGCATGTCCTTTTTTTTCTTTTTATTAGTTAAGATATATTTAGCCATATTAATTTTTTTTAATAACTTGATCATGGAGACAGATAAACAGCAAGGCATGATAACACCTTGATAAATCTGTGGGGTTTCTGCTTTTGTTATGTGTATTCTCTCTCTTCTCCCTCTTTCTCATTTATTTACTTTTTAAGCAAGAATGACTTATTTTCATGGCGTTTTGGGGACTTTGATTTCCTGGAGTGGTGTCGAGTTCCACTTTAGTTCTGGCTGTTTACATTATTCCTCCCAACTTTTTTTCATGAGCTGAGACATCCTCTGGAGTCTGCAGATGGCTTTTCTTCTGCACTCCAGGAATCCCTTCAGGGGACTTTAACTAAAGCATCTTCAACTCTGTGCAGCTAAATTCCCCTAATGATATATTCTGTTCACCAAAGAAAACAAAATATTGGATATGTGAGCTGCACTTGGGTGTCCTCATTTCAAATCCCCAAGGGAAGATCAGGTCATTTGAAGAGACTCTTGCACAAACTCAATGTATTTTGCAAGAGCATGCATGAAGGGTTTCAGCACTGTCCAGGAGAAGGGGATCCATTCGCTGTGCCCCACTGGTGCTGCAGGCAGGAGACAGAAAAGATGCCTGTTGGTGCCAGCAGCACTGGGCTTTCTGTAGGTGTGTAAATCCTCGGGAGGGAAAATAGAGAAAATGGTATTTTTAGTTGTAGTTTTGAGGTTAGTGTTTTACTCTGAGTAAGCGATGGTGCCTTTCACTCTCAGGAACAACACAAGACACGGGGTCTGTACCGTGGCAGGATGCAGGCCATGGCTGCTCCAGCCCTGGGGCAGCTCTGTCGTTCCATGGGGTGCAGCCAGGGGCTGTGAGCAGAGGAGGTGAATTTGGCCTGGGCTGCAGCAGCATGAGCAGCGCGGGCGGCGCAGGGCCCGGGCGGCGCAGGGCCCCCCCCGGCTGTCTGGCCTCTGGAGGGAGGAGCGGGTCTGCAGGGGGACAGGGAGAGTGGAGGGGCTTCGTGGTAGGAACAGAGCGTTGTGTCAGCTCAGACCCAGGCTGGCCGTGCTCGAGTAGGATCCCAGCAGCGTCCCTGTATTGCAGTTATGCAAATTCTCCTGGCTCCTCGACCCTGCGTCACCAGGAGGGCTGATGAACGATGTACTGGGCTGTCTTTCAGGCCGTGGAGGGGTGGGGGACTGGAGGGGTGGGGGGCTCTCGCACTCCCCCCACATCAGCACAAATTGCCATGTGTGGTTTCTTGATTTGTACGCAAATCTGAACCGTCAGGACAGGGAGCAGCTAATTTAGCAGCGTTTCCCCCAAGTCCCAGGGGGCTCGGTGGCATCTATTAGGCACAGCCCTGACATTTCTTGTGCCCTCGGCGCCGCCGCAGGCTGGTGCCTTTCCTCACAAAGCCGTTGTGCTAATCTCCTGCTCCGCTGAGGAAGGAGGTCCCAGCTGCTCTGGGAGAGGGCGGAGAGTCCTCCCAGGGCCATGGATTTAATGAGAAATGTAAAACTCCATCAGAGGAGCTGTGAAGTGGCACAGAGCTCGTCTATCCCTCCCTGTCTCCAGTGGCCTTTTTGTTTTGTCCTTTAGAAAGGAAAAGAAGAATATAGAGATGGATCAAATTAGACTTGGATTTGAAGTACAGCATTGTGCCTCTTCCCTCGGAAGAAGCCTGTGTTCACATTAAAGCTCCTGGGCTCATCTCTCATTTCTGTCATTAACCATGTCACCAAGTTAATCTCTTTGGCCACGTATGTGAAGCAGAGATAAAGCTGCATATCCATCCCTCTGGAGTTCTGTGTGAGATGGCCACAAAATATTTTGAAGTGGTCACATAAAAGGTATCAATAGGTTTAGCAGAGTAAAATTTAACAGTCAGTGTCAACATGTACTGATCCACCAAAATTTGTTCAGCCTCCTGTAAATCCCTTTGAAACAGCAGCGTGGTTCTCTTGGAGTAGTGTTTGCCACGTCTGAGACTGACAAGCAAGTAAAGGAGGGGAATCCTGAGGGTTTTAAAATTACACATTACTGCCAGATTGTTTGGTCCCTAGAAAACTTAGCTGGTGGCATTGTTGTTTTCACACAGTCAAATGATGCTTAGTCAAGTTAAGAAACAGAAAGAGCAGTAAAAATTATGATGCCAATACTCTTGGCTTTATTTACCTCACAGTAAAGTTCTAGGGTTTGTAGCAATCTCAGGAGGGTAGAGAACAGAATATATAATATACGTATAAATGTATAATATATCTTTAAAAAGAGAGTAAATTGAGGATAAAGGGAGCAGAGCCGACAGGGAGAGCTGTGTGTCC